AGAAATTTCTTAAAATTTCTTATAATGTTCCTAAAACTAGGGGCTGTTTTAGAGTTCTCTGTTCATCCTCGAAGCGCTCGAAATTCCCTGATTAAAATAAGACTACCGGAATATCTCTAATCATCTTTGAAGGTATCTGGACTTTCTTGAAGATTACGAAATCTCTTAAGTACTCTCACAATTTTCTTGAATTTATTGTAACATCAGCATTGAAGTTCTCTGATCTTCCCGATTTTTTTTAATTTTTAAAAGTTATCGACTCTGACATTTAAAAGCATAGAACTTCCCAAAAAATGTTCTCACAATGTTCTAATGTTCATGTAACTTTCCTTACGTTCACTAAATTTGCATGAGCCCCTCAGAACATTGCTGAAGTTTTCGGAAATCGCCTGAGTTTCTCGGAACTCCTTTAAAATTTCATCAATTTCATTGAAATTAATTGATCTGTCCTGATGTTCTCTGAACTTCACTAAAGTTCCTGAAAACCATAAAATTTTCCTGAAGTTCTATGGACTTGTGAAGTTTCCAAAATATTTATGATGTTTCCTTAAGTTCAGTAGAGTCTGAAATTTCCGGGTTTTCGAATTTTAAAAGAAATTAAGGAAACCTTTAATTTATCGAAACTTATACAAAAGCCTGGACTTTTCTGAAGTTTCAGCACTTCTTTAATGTTCCTGCAGCTAGTGTGGATCCGCAATAAAAATCTGATAGCATCCTTGAAGTTCCGGGAAAAGTGAAAAAAAAAAAACTGGCGGGAGAAGATGAAAGATTCATTAGAGCGAAGGCTGAAGAAGATTCCAAGGTAAGGTGGAAGAAAATTCCAGGGAATGTTGAATGAAATTTCAGGAAGGAATAACCGGAAAGAGCCATAGGCTATTTCTCGATTGATGGGTAGCCAAAAACGGTGAGGAGATGCAAACATTAGTTGAAAGAGTATCAGGCATTAGACGATTGTTTAGAAATTTGAAGGCTCAAAAAATATGAGGTATTCAAAAAGATACAAGTCTCCCACAAAAAATTTCTCCGAAATTCGAGTGCAGGCAGACAATAATAAATTTGATTATTTAAAAAAAAAATCGGTATAAATCGGTATAACATCTCAAAAATCGGTATTCTGAGGAACCTTATCTGTATATCGGTATCTAGTTTGGAAATCGGTATATATACCGATAAATCGGTATATCTGGCAACGCTGCACTGCACATTTAAATCGGCCGTTTGCGATTTTCGGACATAAGTTAGAATTAAGTGTCATGTCGGTTTGTCGGTGGTTAAACCCTCTCCGTAGGGGAGGCTCCTTCTAAAGAGCCTGAATTTATGAAGAGGCGATATCTTATCCATTTGACTGGTATTCTGCTCGATTGGAATGACTTTACCTATGACTTTGACAGACAATCGATTGTTCCAATTTTGACATGTCGTCTCTTTATAAATTCAGCGTCTTTAGCTCCTTCCATTCGCTGATATATGAACCAAAATTTTAGTCAATATTGAAACAGCTGCCTGTTGCGTTATCATAAAATGCAACCTTCACTCTCTTCTCTGCTTCAGAGACCTAATTTAAAACTAATGATGGAGCTACTTTAAAAATGTAACGTATTTTTTTGGCAATTGTTTTATCCCACAACATGCATGGCGTCTTTGTGGACTATACTGGGCTCCTTCTCCAAAATATATAACGGCTTGTTTAGGACTCCTCATTTGAATTTTCATAATTTATTACATTCCAGGAAAAATACTTGAACCAACATTGAACCATAACCGAAACATTGAAATATTTGAAACAATTAAGTTCACTATAATAGTCAAAAATGCATGACATTCATAAATTTTGTGTAGTTCTACGTCATTCTGCGGTCGTGTCTAGGACGCAACCCTTTAATTTGTTTTTTCATATACGGGAAAAGTTGGCTTCGGCAATACCTTAACCTATTATCGTCAGGGGGGTAAACAAAGTCCTAGAGCACTCAAATTTGGCCAATAGTTGCTCTGAAACACAATGTATCCACATGCCAAAATTGAGCTCTCAAGGACGTTGTTTACCCCCCTGACGATAATAGGTTAAGGTATTGCCGAAGCCAACTGTTCCCCTATCTGTGTCCCAGCCTTCTGAACATCCCGACGTGACGGATTTCGCCCGGTCCAGATTTTGTCCGGTCCAAATGGGACCGGCTTTCGTTTCGTACGACCAATCGACTAGCCAATCGAAGATTATTATTATTATTATTTAGCTTTATTAAGGAGGCTTTCAGCCTTGGGCTGGTTCGCCTCCAAGCCAATCGAAGATCTTAACAGATGCAAACAACTGGATGGTGCACCTCAAAATGTCCAACGGTTCCATACAACTTTGGACATTGAGCAGTATTCGTGCCAGAGAAAGTGAGAAGAAGTGGTTTGTTCAAACCATCCATTTGTGATCCGGGATCTCGTTGCAAAATGTAGAGTTTGCTGAACTATGTCAAGAAGAGGGAGTGATCTGCATCAGTGCATAGAAGTTACTGTCTAAGATTTGATTTTTGAAAAAATATATTTTCATTTCCAAAATTTCGTTTGTTCTTTAATTTTAAAAAGGCAAACTATTTCATTGCTAACATTCTGATATTTTTCTCCTTCCGACGCGACGTTGAGTAAATTTCTCCTAATCAAGTAGGTTGTTTTACCCATTGTATCACAGATCGAAATTATAAAAATTTGAGTATCTCGAGTTAACTCAATTTTGGCTAGCCCCACGGTAGCACCGAGTTGGGTGAAAGCCACTTAAAATTGAGTATATATTTTTAACTGTGCATATGCTATCCATAATGTCACTGCCAGACCGTGGGAGTCAGAATGTAAACACACACACATACACGATCGGCTGTCGAAAAATTTAAGGTATAGAACATAATGCGTATTATGCTTATTAACCCAAACATTTCATCTGCTGGATCTGGACTCGAAATCACCACTTTTATAGTATTTTTAAACCATCCACAACGTTTAGAAAGCCATTTTGAAATCAACGGGCAAACGACAACACGTGAAGAGCTTCATTTTTGTCGTAGGTAGGGTAGAGAACTACTTCGGCTTTATCGCCCATTTCGGGCCTATCGAGTAGAAAATGTCAAATATATCCATTATTTCGGCGTTAAAAAGTCAATTCTCGCGTAACATTTGAAAAGGGCCTATCCTCGTTGATCAATTCTCTTCATCGACTTTCTCTTTGGTTTACCACGGCAACATAATCAAATTTCTCGCTAAGCTTGCAGCACAGTTCGACAGAAGATGATGTTAGCTTCCGCCTGAAACAACACACTGAATGGGAAATTCATTTACTGTCGGGTTATTCGCGAAAGAGTATATCGCGAGAATTATGCGTTTGGTATGATTCTTCAGTTAAGAAGATACCGAACGAAGTCAATGAAAACACGTGATTTGAATGTTTGCACTCATTATTCTCAAAAACAAAAGAAGCGCTCAGAACGAATTCATTTTTATCTTCTTCCGATAGGCCGAAGTGAATTAAATGGCGATTCAATGGCGTTTTAATGCGTTTGGTCGAATTTAGAATCCGTACGCCGGATTCGGGGTCAAAAAGTAGTGCTAGGTTTTTTTTTTAAATATTTCAACAATTAGTTACTCTTTTTCAAATCTTACGGTGCGTCCGGAAAGGTGAACAAATTTGAAAGCCATCTGCAGTGAAAAATTCTATTTTGTGAATAAATCTGCTCGAGAAATAGAGGTAAAGGGCGAGTTATGCTTAGTAGGCCCAACATTAGATCTAAGCCCTACATCCATGAATTTTGATTACAGGCTACCTATGTGCTTGCTACTTGCTTCACGTTGAAACTCTCGTCGGTACCTTACTAACAGTCAAATGAACACGGAGAGGGGATGAGATGAGCATCCCGATGTTTCGAGAGGGTGAACATTTTCGGAACGGCTCTGGTCCTGGTGAGATGATGATGGCTTGAGGGGATTAAAAAGTGCGACCGAGAGACAGAGCGGTTGTTTGCGATACATCTCCATGACAATAAATTTCTACGGGCTGGAAATCGAGGAGAGGAAGGGGGGTTTTGACGGTTCGTTAAACACTTCCATGCAGTCGGTGGCCATTCTACCGCCACTGTTTGCATACTTTAAATCAGTCAATGGGGATGTTTTAAAGTCAATAGACAACTGATAACAGAACGGGACACCACCACAGAGTCAGCTCACTTTTTCATAGCACCGTACTGTGACATTCTCTCGAGAGCTGGATAAGAAAACGGAACCGTTGTTAAACTCTCCTTTCTTCCTTAATAGACTCTTACATGGCACTTACAGCGACTGATTCGTTGTAAATCTAAACTGTGTGTTTCTTTCGAGTTTGTCGACTGCTGCTAGTAGTTAGAAGAAGTGTCGAGAAAAAGCCACCACCTCTTAGCAAATAAAAAAAATAAAACAGTGTGCTCCCAGACGTGGAAAATCCCTGAAGCACCCAACCCACCCGTAACGGTGATGTAGAAGAGTTGCACGGGTGGATACCAAGAGCACAAAGTTCACATATTAAAAACTTTACACGTAGTCTAAGTGGTTTGTGATGCAGATGAAAAGTATGTTCCTCGTTGGCTCGTATTTCTCTCTAGGCCGGCGTCGTCGTCGGGAGACAGACCTTGGGAACTGTTTTGCTACTTAACCACTTGGGAGAGGATAGTTTTGTTGTTGTCTTGGAGTGAAACTTTCCTGCTCCTATATATTGTATGATGCCGTCTGGGGCTTAATATGGTTGCCTAGGAGGCGAAACTGTTTTGCGGATGCTGAAGGACCTAAATCCACTTGATTTATGAGCGTGTGCACATGGAACGAGATTTGAAAACTTCATTCCGGAAATTGCATTACCAAACGGCCTTTCTCGGGAAGGGAAAGTGTTTGTCGCTGCGGTTTTTTGGTTGCGAAAATCGTAAAAAAAAAAAACAAAATATCAAAAAAGCATCGAATGTCATAAAATTCCGTCCCCATTTCCATTGCTTCACACTTACCTTATTGATAACAAAATGTAGCGTCGGTCCCTTGGTTTTGCAGGTCAGCACGTAGTTTCCCGGCTGGGAGACGCAGTCTCGCACCAGGAAGTCCCCATCCCGTTGAACAATCTCCTCGGCTCGCTGCCGGGGAATCGGTCCGTGGTACCAGGCGTGCGATCGTAAATCTCTCGAATCCAGCGACAGTTCCCATTCGAGGGCTTTTTTCAGTGCGACTGCTTCATTGCCGCCACCGCCGTCGGGTGATTCCTGTTTGCAGTGTTTGTGATTTTTCGAGTTGGTCGTATTTTTTTCCGGTGGTGCAAAATGAAATTGAAACAGAGAAAATGGGACGTCAAATTTAGGGTGGTGCACATGAAGATGGGTGGAAATTAATCAAGGGATAGCATTATATTCGCTTCGCTTTAGAAGTAGGGGGAATTGGTGTAATACGCGAAGTTTGGAAATATGACCAATTGCCTTTTATCCTGTTCTTTTCAAGCAGCAATTGATATTAAAATTTCGGGTTGAAAATAATCTAATAATTCTGTATGAAGAACCTATGGAGCATTTCCAGGCCAAATAGCAAAACAAAATGATCCATTATTCACGTTTGAGTTAAAATTCAACCATTTTGAATCTTGCTGAGAAAATAAAATTAAAAATGGTTTTATTCATAATTTTCAACAGGGCACTACCATACACGATGTTATATAAGAGACGCGCGGAGAGACTAAAAGTAAATCTGGTTACACGGCCAACTAATTTCTTTTTCTGCAGGATTTGGCAACCCGCAATTTTGTGTTAACTTCAAGTGACTTTTAATTTGAGCGACTGCCGTCTGCTTAATCATTACGGTAAAATTAATACTTTTAAACCGTATCGGTCATGGGGTAGGTCACTCCGCACAGCAATTATGGGTCACCATTTTTGTCAGTGTGCCTCAAATGTTCTGCAGGTGTGCCGATTGTGCCAGTCATAGAGCAAGCTGCGATTGTTTGTAAAATACCCATCCCGGCAACCCGATATTTATGACACCTTGAATGTTTTGGTTTGAAATCGCAAGGATAAATCGGATTGAGGATGACGCGAGAAGTTGCGGGTTTGCGAAATTTTGGTGTTTTGTGTTCATAGGGTAATAAAAGTCCTGTGTTTTAGTGCTTTATAATACCCTCAAAGGCAGACCAGAAACTTAGCTTTTCGTGATGTGAAAAGCATCGGTCTATCAGCGACTGGAAAGAGTTGGAACCGGTGGGGAGCATTATTAGAGACCGTCTATAGAGGATGATAAATAGACTGCTTTAGTTTGTTTTGTATGAGTTGATTATTTGAATTATGGGTACTAATGGGGTACTAACTGCCTTTTTCTCTTGTACCCACTCTAGAACCTACATTTCATATTTAGATCTGTAAGTAATGTGCTGGTCTGAGTTCCTCTGTTATACTCAATTAGAGGATGTTCCTGAAAATACAGTCAAACAACACGTAATGAAAGTTGTCCAGCAGTGCTCCCATTTTATTTACAACAAACCAATGCCTACGAGATTGTGACGTAGGTATGCAGAAGGAATGTCGAAGGTGTGCCGATGGATGTACCCAAGCTGTGCCGAATCTAATTTCGGCACAATGTACTGAGTGACTTACCCCTTGGTATCGGTAGTATTGCTATTCAGTGGAAGTATTTGAAGACTCAATTTTAGACAACTCTAAGTAAAACCAAATATACCACATTGGAGGGTATATTCTACAGAACGTTGCACAAAATTATTCAATCTGCAATTGTTGCTTCCTATCATGTTTGAGTGAAATCTCTCACAAATTCTACTATCTTGAAAAATTAAAGCGATCTTTGTAACAGAGCCTATGTACACACTTAGTTTTTTCTACCGAGCTCGGCTGTGCAAATCTCGGCAAAAAAAGTTTCACTGAGATCTCAGCAAACATTTCATTTGTTTGGTGAGATTCAGCTAAGCATTATCCGAGACTCAGCAATCAAACGTCACTATTGCTGAGATCTCAGTGAAACTTTTTTTGCCGAGATTTGCACAGCCGAGCTCGGTAGAAAAAACTAAGTGTGTAGATGTATTTCGTTGTGCTGGAGCAAATATTTGGTGAGAATTTACCGAGAATACAACTTTTTTTTTAAACTTTATTAGAGAGATTTTTAGCCGTTGGCTAGTTCATCTCTATATGGAGAATACAGCTGATGAATAACAATAACATTATCTATCCAATTTTACTTTTCATACGCAAACTTAATTATTATTATTAAAATCTCAACAGTTAACCAGCGTTTGGCTGAAAATCTCCTTAATAAAGACAACCAACCTCAACAATTAAATTCAACACCAACCTCAATACTTCCCACGCTTTTCTTCGTGAAGCGCTCGTGTTTATTGCTCGATTGGAACCGCGTTTGGAACTTTTGGCTTCAGTCTTCGCGCGTCTCTTATTTAACATCGTCTCTGGGCACTACATTTTCGAAACTCGAAAATGAACTCAACCTTTGTTTTCTTTCATACATCGTGATTAACGCTAAGGGAACTTTCATAAATGACGTAGAATTTGAGGGGGAGGGGTTGTAACCGGTTATGTATTAAGTATATGTCTGTATATTGTTTAGTAAAAATTCAAAAAAAAAAATCGTGTTCAGTTTTGATATAAAAAAAAACTTATGAAAAATGCCAACTTTTTAAATATTGAAAACCATGGACCCTTAAAAATTAACAAAAATCGTAGAATAATAAATTTTGGTTAATATGTGAATAATTGCCCATAGCAAAAAATTATGCAAATCGGAGAGTGCAGTTTCGAACCCCTTTGGATTGTGTTTAAAGTTTGCTCTCTGTTTTGTACCTACGTGCGTTCGCTTTCATAGTTTTCGGTTGTATTTGCCTGATTAGCGCTGGCACTCTGCTTCCCGGACGGTTATACGTGTGTGATTGGTGGTTTTCCCACTTTCCGGGAAGTTTTAGAATCGAGAAAGAAAACGTGATTCATCATGTTTGCAAGCATCAGAAGAGATTGTGGCATCGCGAGTAATGATTTTTAATTTCAGTTTATTTACGCACTGTAAGGTGCGATAAACGGTATTCCGCTCATTGGATCTGTGACTCAGTTTTCCGTTGCTTTTGATTCCATCGGAAGTTAAGTATTGTCTCCTGCGGCAACGGAAAAGTCGGAAAATATTCTTGTTGTGCGTTCTGTGTATGATATGAAGTAAAAGTAGTATATCAGAAATAACTTGGTGTGATCCTTGAGATGATACGTCATCTGTTCAAAGAAGTATTTAGATGCCACGATAGTTCCAATATTACAAGCTTGCAACCAACTGTCCCGCGGGTTTTCCCCTCAATCATTAAAGAATAACAAAACACAACATAATTCTTTCTTTTTAATTAGCTACGGATGTGACAATGATGGTGAATTCACCATGTTATACCTTCATTTTATTTCAGCAACCTTATCTTCCACCAGACGCTCAGGACAGCAATTTCAACATTTATAAAAAATCTACATTTGCCAGCAACACTGACTGGGTGTATCCTATGGCTTACTTTTCCTACTAACATATTTCCTAAATTCCCGAGACATAGGGGAAATGGCTTTAATGTTGGCCTATGGACCTAAGGTTGGGCCCATCGCTAAAAATCAGCTATTTATCAATTTTATCTAGATGAACGCGTCATTGGGACGGTACTAATGGCTATTTTGGTCGCTATTGAAAGTTTAGTCGATTGCTGAATTTATGTATGGGCCCAAATTAGGGGCATTTATGCCGACATTACATCCATTTCCCCTATATTCGTAGAGTTCTCTGCATCTTTCTTAAGTAAATGTTGAAATAACATACGTTTCCTATCCCTACCAGTTGTAAGGACGTAGCCAGGACAATCCTTAACTGTTGGAGCGGGATATGTTTTTATCTGGAGATAGTAATTATTTCCTACTTACTATCTGTCCAGTAATTGATATCCGTCTTGCACCTACGATATTGTGCAACTTGTTCGATGCTAATGCTAATGCTAATAACAAACAATTATGCAAATCGGATATGGTCGGGTCTGATCGATTCGTCATCAGGAACTGCTCTCTTCTCACTTGTGCTATAAAAGTTCAAGCTTTGCATATGAACCTCCTTAAGCCATTTATTAGAGTCTCGGGGTAATTTTTGAGCATTGATCGTGATCCGATAATTAGGTTTTAAAATATTAAGATTTGTGGATAAAGGGTGATACGGTCAAAATTTGGTCAAGGGAAAACGCGTGTAAATCGGTGAAATCGTTTATTTAAAAAATCAAATTAAATTTCTTTTTCATGTTCAATTAGTATAAAATTCAGGAAAAATATTCAGTTAGGCTTCCGCTTTTCCAAATCCGAATTGCCGGGCCTTACGCTTGACCCCTGCCATCAGATTTTGTACAGCTACCTTGTCCACCTTCTTCGCCGCAGAAAGCCAGTTTTCCTTGAACTGCTGCTCGCCCTTAGCAGTTTTTTTTGGTCTTCTTTAGGTTCCGCTTGACAATAGCCCAGTATTTCTCAATTGGGCGGAGCTCTGGCGTGTTGGGAGGGTTCTTGTCCTTGGGAACCACCTGCACGTTGTTGGCGGCGTACCACTCCATGGCCTTTTTACCGTAATGGCAAGATGCCAAATCCGGCCAAAACAGTACGGAACAACCGTGTTTCTTCAGGAAAGGCAGCAGACGTTTATTCAAACACTCTTTCACGTAAATTTCTTGGTTGACAGTCCCGGAAGCTATGAAAATGCTGCTTTTCAAGCCACAGGTACAGATGGCTTGCCAAACCAGATATTTCTTTGCGAACTTTGACAGTTTCATGTGCTTGAAAACATCTGCTACCTTTCCCCTTCCGTTTGCCGTATAAAACTCCTGTCCCGGAAGCTGCTTGTAGTCGGCTTTGACGTAGGTTTCGTTGTCCATTACCACGCAGTCAAACTTCGTCAGCATCGTCGTGTACAGCCTCCGGGATCGCGCTTTGGCCGTCGTATTTTGTTTATCATCGCGATTTGGAGTCACTACCTTCTTGTAAGTCGATAGTCCGGCTCGTTTTTTGGCTCGATGCACGGTTGTAGACGATACACCCAGCTTATTTGCGGCATCTCGGAGAGAGAGGTTAGGGTTTCGCTTGAAACTACCGGCAACTCTCTTTGTCGTCTCAGCGGCTTCCGGTTTTCGATTTCCCCCCGATCCAGACTTCCTGGCTGTCGACAAACGTTCCCCAAACACTTTAATTACATTTGTAACGGTTGATTTGGCAACTTTTAGCAATTTTGCCAACTTTGCGTGCGAGTAGCTCGGATTTTCGCGATGCGCGAGCAAAACTTTGATACGCTGCTCTTCTTGCTTGGACGGCATTTTGACAACTGAAGAGTGAATTCCAAAATCAAAATAGGAGCAACATTCTACACACACACACCTTCAAAATGAGGGGTGTTCAGGTTTTTTAAATGCAAAATTGAAAGAAATACGTCAAGTTGATATTGACCAAATTTTGACCGTATCACCCTTTAGGATAAATTGTGCGTTGCCGAAATAGTATCATTACTTTATTATGTACATTATTTTTGAAGAAGACGTAGGGTGGAGAACGACTTCAGTCCCCCGAGACCCTATTCCAAGCATGGTGATTTTCTTTAGATTATTAATCGTGAGAATTAAAAATCTATCGGGAGGATCCGAGTGTGTATATTAGAGAACGCTTGCAAATAAATTGTGGTAGTGGAAACGGTTTTGAATACTACATATCATAAGCCAAATACTCGTGTATCGTCAAGCGGTCTGCGTAGTTTAATTGGCAATGCACCCGTGCACTGAATGGAATTTGTGAGTTCAAATCCTACCGACTGCCGTAGATTTTTTCGATAATTTTCTCATACACACGTGTTCCTCCGATCATGTGTGCTTTTCCCCGTAACGTGGGTAGATCACCTTTTCGTGGTACGTTACGGGATGTAAGATCTACCACCGATTCCTAGTCCTGACTACTTCAAACTAGGGGAACAGGATTTTTCAGTAATACAAGGAACACATCTTAGTCCTTGTTACTTTTTATGCCTTGTTGATAGTGACAAGACTCGGCTTTGTCTACCGAGGATGATCTTGAAACAAGGCAAAAAATGAGTTAGTTGTCTTCATCTATGTGATTCCTAATCTTCTATCCGTTGTTCCCTAGTTCCTGACTACTTCAAACTAGAGGAACAGGATTTTTCAGTAATCCAAGGAACACATCTTAGTCCTTGTTACTTTTTATGCCTTGTTGATAGTGACAAGACTCGGCTTTGTCTACCGAGGATGATCTTGAAACAAGGCAAAAAAATGAGTTAGTTGTCTTCATCTATGTGATTCCTAATCTTCTCTTCGTTGTTCCCTAGTTTGAAGTGGTTAAGACTAGGGTTTTGACGCTTGGTCATTATCGGTCTCATACCTTCATTTTGTTGCTAAGGAATCCAATTTTGACTGACAAAGGGGCGCGTCTTTGGAGGGTGTTTCAACACTCCGAAGGGTATAAATAGCGGGACCTTTCAATTAGACTCGGATCCTTGCGATAAATGCAAGAGTGGCAACTGTAAAAAAATCGAATACTTCATCATTTCTCAATAGTGATGGAGTAATACGACATGCACTAAACTAAGGACACGGGATATACTACAATAGATCAATTTACTGGTCGCAGTAGTGTTAGGTCCCGAACAGAGGAAAAAAAATGTGTGCTTTGCTTTCTCAGTATATTCTAAATATTTTCCAAAACAAAGAATTACATTACTTACATCCCTTCGGAAGGAAAACGAGATCAACGATTTTTACACCTCAGAAAATCCCAACGACCTTGACTGGAATTGAACCCAGATACACAGGGGGTGAGAAAGCAGTCACGATTCCCGAGCAAAGCTGGAGATCAAATTGAAATAAAATTTGCTGTTATGATGTAATTTATTTTGAATACTAAAATTGATCTCAGTTTGGTTGACTTAACACACCTAAAATGAGAGCAAAATTTTACACTGTTGAATAAAACGGAAAACTAATCCTGCTTTCAATGATATAAATTTGATTACTGATTCTGCATTCATAATATTTAACTGAATACGAGTTTAAATATTACCCATTGTGCGCACGAATGACCTTAAATGTGTTAAACAAAATAAATAAACAATAATCGTTAGTTCAACGACAGATGAACTTAACTTAAATTTTCAACAAGAAGTTAACAGCAAAACTTTAAGTTATGTTACTTTCATTTAAAAAAAAACTCTTGACTGCATACCCGAGCAAAGTACAGCATCAAAATGACAGCAAATTGAAATCAAGTTTTGATATCAACATCAAACTGAAATCATAATTTGATATCAGTTTACGCAATTGACAGATTTGATACCAAATTTTGTTTTCATTTTGCTGTAGATTTTCTCTTCAAAAATGTGTTGTTGCGGGTTTGTTTTCATTGCCTTAGCATAACATCAAATTGAATGCTTGTTTTGTTATCAACAGGAAAAATTGATATCAAATTGAGTTTTCAGTTTGCTCTCACTGATAGCAGAAATAGTTTTCAATATGATGTCACAGGAAGATTTTTTTGCTCAGCGAAATCACAACATCAAATTTAGATTTCAATTTGATCTCAGACTTTGCTCGGGTAATGAAAGCACAATATTATATCAGACTTAAGTCGCTACAATTGAAATCAAAATGAGTTTTCATTATGATAGGAACTGCAAACTTTACTACCGATTTTGCTTTGCTTAGTTAAAAAAATCCGACTTTTCTCTGTTGGCAGTTCATTTGCTGCATATTTGTTTCCAATATTTGAAACTATTCTTTGTACAAAGATTGTATACTGACCAAACTTAAACTTCTGTTCGTACTGTCAGCATTGTACAATCACATATATTTTTCTTTTTACCACTCACCATATCTAGTAGATCGCCCAGACTCTTGCTTTGCTTCGCGTTGCTGGCCGTCAGACACTCATAGCTGCTGGAACAGAAAGAGAAAAGACAAAGAAAGATAAATTTAATTAAAAGTCCCATCCTTATTACTTCCATGTCGCTATAACAATATCGCCGAAGTTTAAGTCCGCTGGCTGCGGTAAGGAAAGAAACGAACGAATCCATACCAACCCGAACCAAGACCGGAAGGAGCAGGAAAATTCTTTCGCTAAACCAAACGAGAGCTACTAATAGCTTTTATGGGCATAATATCATTTTGCTTCAATCGTTCAATTCTTCGGTAGCCCCCTCCCCCAACGCGCCACGCGGAATATTTACACAGTTAGATTCCCTATCTCCTAGGTACCAATGAATGTAAACAGGACAGAAACCGATCGATCGCAGAGTGAAAATCGACTTTAAATGTAATCCAATCTGTACGAGAATAATTTTTCCTGCTTTTCTCTGTTGCCGGCACCTAGCTAGTACGGTCGACGGTACTCTTTTCTTTTTGTTGAAAACGTGAGTAAGCTTTCGATTGGGAATAAAAAGCTGAGAAAAGACCAATAGCAATACCGGCGGGTGGTGACATAAAAAAGAAGGACAATAAAATTCTATTCTCTCTTTGGGAAATGCAATGTGAGGTGGTTCGAATGACTTTCCACTGCCTTGTTGGTTTGTTTGTGTTTGTATGTATTTGCCAATAGATTCGATTTTTACGATCTTGTAGACTGCTTTTCAGTTGACCGTTTAGAATAGAGACAACAATCAGGGGCCGCATTATGCAACTGAGTCGAAACGACCTTTTCATACAAAGATTTCATACGCAAAACGATTCGTTTCAACTTTCCCAATGAGGCTGCAGCTTTAAATGATGTGTAGATGAGGGTGATAAGAATTGAATTGATGAGAAAATGATCAAACGATTTTGGTGTATGATCACAGAAAATAAGTACATACACAGTTGAAACATGAAGCGGCATTAAAAAAGATCAACATTTTTAATGAAAGTTGATGTTCTACGATTTTAATCAATTTGAAAGTGCCCATTAGCATTAGCATTAGCATTAGCAAGGAATCAAAAATATCTCCAAATGACAAAATAACAAGCGATCAACGAACCGAATAATAACGCTATGTCAGAAGTGCAAAGTAATAATGATATAATCTTCACCGTTCTTTTTCATGACAAGCAGCTCGTGCGACCCAACTCATTCGGGGCGGTAGAAGGAAACGAGCAAATTGTTGGCAAGCTGCTTCACGAAGTAAAGCCGAAGATGATACACGTGTGTTAATGGGAATTTTTTTGTTATGTCTTTTCCCGATTCATATCAAGCTATGTCCTCATCCGTGTATATTGCAACAAAGCAGGCAAGCAATATATCATTATCCTTCTACCACTCGGATCGAGCTTTGTTTCAGAGCGAGTTTGTCATGGTAGTCGTAGCAACCGTTTTGTCTGTATCGTTGGTTGCTTTATGTGATTGGATTCGCTGAGCATTAGCATTAGCATTAGCATTAGCATCGAACAAGTTGCACAATATCGTAGGTGGTACGAATTCAAAACTATTAAGAGCTAGACGGATATCTATTACTGGACGGATAGTAAGCAGGAAATAATTACTTTCTCCCAGATAAAAACATATCCCGCTCCAACAGTTAAGGATTGTCCTGGCCACGTCCTTACAAATGGTAGGGATAGGAAAGGTATGTTAGTCCAACATTCACTTAAGAGAGAATCAATTTGAAAGTGCCCATTGTGTCTAAAATCAGAAAAGATAGCATTTTTTGATAAACTTTAAAATCCACATAATTGAAAAATAAAATGCGTTTTTTTGTTAATCAAGATTTCAACATTTTTTTTAAGTGTTGACCGAAATTTGTAATTTATTTTTTGAATGAAGAGGCAATTGCGTCTCCTAAAACTTAGTCTCAGACGTCATTTCGATAAGATAGAAGACGTTTCTTGATAGAAGAAATGCTATGCGTAAATTTAATACATGTGTTTGTGACAGTTTTACTTCCAGGTATATACTAACTCATGCGCATGATATACAGTTTCGTTCAGTTGTTGTTTACTTGTTATGCGTAATGAAGCAATTTTGGGAAATTGTTGTGCAACGATTGTTGAACGCCTGGAATCTTTCGGTGTTAAGCGTAACTTCATTTACAAGACCATCAAATGGTACTTTTTGGTGGACATGAAGAGGTCCGGTCATCCACGTTCGGTACGGACGCAGCGAACCATTAAAACCGTAAGGAAATGAATCCATCGCAAAGAGCAACGTTCATTATGGAAAATGGAATCAGACTTGAACATTAGACTGGAGAAATTAGGCCCTGATTAGCCTCCCAAAACATGAACTCATTTAGTGAGAAACTGACTTGGCACAAACCATTTGAAGTTTATATGGGTACTTCTATGGGAAAACAAAACGTTTTGTTCAGTTTAGTTCAGTTCAGTTTAAACTGTAGAGCGAAGATTTCAAATTTTGCATCAGTCTACTGAACATTTCCTTTGGATCGGGTCACAATATTGTACGACGTGATCCTGGATTCAACGCTTTTAAGAAACGTAAAGCTCATGGTGTTTCCGCATTATCAAAGCAAAAGAGATTGGATAGAGCTAAGGTGATACTATCGCGGCACGCTGGTCACGAGTTCATTTTTTCAGATGAGAAACTGTTTGTCCTGGCGCAGCCTCACAACCCACAAAATGATCGGATGTGGGCAGCAGCTAAGGAAAATATTCCTGCGTCCCAAATAAATGTGTCTTGATTTCAAAGTGGAGCTTCAGCGATGGTTTGGGGCGCAATTTGTAAGCGTGGTAGGCTACCTTTGATTTTTATTGATAAAGAGGTAAAAATCAATGCCGTGTATTATAAAACGGAAGTTTTGGAGATAATTGTTGTCCCAAACCTACGACAGCTCTCTGGAGAAGATCACTATGTGTTTCAGCAAGAAGAAGCGCCAGTTCACACAGCAAATATTGGCTGAATAACCTCCCAGCTTTCCTGATCTGAATCCATTGGTTTTTTTTTCATTTGGTCCTACATGCTATCAAAACTGAAGGATCTCAAAATCTGAAATTTGGATCAGTTCAAGGCAGTTATCCAGAAAATTTGGATGGAAATGCCCCTGGAATCAGTGCATGCTGCCTGTAACGGTTTCGAAAAACGTTTGAGGCTTGTGAAGAAAGTTAAAGGAGGAGTCATTTCGAAACATTTGCTGTAGTTATTCTACATAAAGAGTACTTGCAATAAAATGTATCAAGAAACTCTATGTATAGTGTTTTTGATATTTTAATGTATTTTGAAAGTGTATCCGAACTTATTGATCACGGTGCAGACGCGAGTCAAAAAGGTCGAATTCCAGCAGAAGTTTGACTCATTGCCCCTAGCGAACAATTATGCAAAGTTTCATGGAATTTGGAGAAGGTACGGTCTGATAGATTCTTCTATTGGCGTGGATCTGCTGATTATTCCAAGGATTATGCACCAATATTAATCAGCTGCTAATAATAGTTTACACCATGTTGATAACTGCTGATTGTGAGCGACAGGCTTCCCAGCACTAGTGTGAACTGGGCATATCTGAGGGTCCTAATATAATTTTACACATAGAGGTAACTGGGCACACTTTATCCCGAATCCAATAGAAACCAAGCGATTGTTTCAGCCTCTGCTGGTGAATAGGCGAACCATCAAAAGAGTGATGAGGTGGAAACTTTCACCGTGAAGCATAGGAAGAGGACAATATTTTCACCTTTCCTGATTAGTTTATCCACCTCAGGTGCTTGAAATCATCATCCACGTGGAATATTTTGTTTTCTGTATCGGGTTTGCATTAAATTAAATTGTCCCAGCGGTTATTATCTTCCGGATTTTTAATGTGTGGTAATTTCAGCTGTTAATTAGTTCAGATCTGTAGATAATCGAAAAATAAGACCACTCCCGATGGAAATTTGCAAGTGGTGCAAAAAAATGAACATTATTTTGAGTTTTGAAAATCGTCATTATGATGAAAACAAATGGATTGGATGACATTTCCTCGCAAAATCGGCTAGCGCACTCTACATTGATGGTGCATAAAAAGAGCCTATTGATTCCCCCTGTTTTCTCTAAATCCTGAAAGAAATTTTTTAACTATGTTCCTACAAAGATTCGTCTAGACTCAGGCCAAACCAATCTTTAAAAATGTAATAAACCCTACCTTACATTGGATGTAAGAAAAATTTGTTTTGCGTGCAGAGTTTTTCCGGAGAATCAAAGAGCAAATCATGAAATGAACAGCGAATCGGAAAATCTCACACAGACATAGATTATAAATAATCCCACGAATGATTCCGTATAATCCCAACACAAATCTTAATAGAACTTCCGTAGTACTAAAAGAGAAATTTTGTAGAGTAACAATCTAACAGTGATCCAGAAGAGTCCCAAGAGTGGTTTCAGTGAATCCCGAAGAACAATTCAGTGAATTTCTAATAGCTTGTTAAGCCGCTTTGCCGAAAGCAAGGTACTTCTCTTTGATTTCGATTCTGAGTTATCGCTAGAAGAACTTTATTTGTACACTGGTGCCACTTAGAGAATCTTATCCCAACTAGACTGTTCACTTCTGAATGGGTTTAGTCCATTTGAACAATTTTAATGCAGACAGGACACTTATTTTTGGTCTAGATCCAGAGCTTTTTGTTCTCTGGTGTCACCTAGGTAGTGATCTAATTACTAACTAAACTGTTCACTACGGTTGTTCATTTGAACAACTTTGCTGAAGTCAAGAAATTTAAATCTGGTCTAGATCCTGAGTTATCACTAGAAGAGCTTTATTTGTACACAGCAAAAAAATAATTTTGATATCACGTCAAAGTGGATGCACTACAATCATGTCGAAAATATGGTGTAATATTACTTGCTAAAAAGGACAAAATTATCATTAATACAATGCATGAACTGACATTACGCTGCTTTTACTGCATTTGTTTATTTATGTGATCATAAAAATTACATGACATTTTCGACATGATTGTAGTGCATCCACTTTGATGTG